AATTCAGCTTAAAACTATTTAACTTAGAAAGTAAATGATCCAGAATTGTTGGCTTAATTGTCGTCTTTAAATTACTACACAGAGTAGACAGAATCCAGCCTTCCTATAAGCTGGGGAGCTTAGGTCCAGAGGTTGAAATTCACTTGCTAAATAAAATTTGGAATGGATATTTACAGATAGGAAATTCATTTCTTCAAATGTTAGAAGACACATTGTTTTATTAGACGTTGAACAATAAAGAGGAAACTTGAGGGGTTTTTTTTGTTGTTGCTGTTGTTACCTTTTAAACAGCAGAGTAGTCAACTTTCAAATGTAAGAACAATAAAACGGGGTTTTAACTGCAAAAAAAAAAAAAAAAAGATAGAAAAAGAGACAAATATATCTGTATGTTTGTACCCCTGGCCTTTCTGGCTCTGACATTAAATACAGGATCTTTCTTCATCTGTGTTATAAAATGCCTCTTAGATGAATCAGCAGGGGGACAGGATGGCACCTATGAAATCACCTTTTTTTAATATAAATACAAATCAGACTTCCTTTCCATATGTAGCTTATTTTTCTCAGCTTGCTAAAAATGAAAGCCCGGTTTAGTCTTCCCGTGTGCCGCGTCTTTCTTCCCTCGCGTGAGTCAATCCTCTGATTTGTTTAAAAGGAAAGTGCAGTCTGTAGAGCACAGCCTGAAGCAGCAGGGGGAGAAAACTTTTAACAGCTGTCTGGTGCCTTGCCAAGGGGCAAAGTTCTCTCAATGGATAAAACCTATTTTTCTCCTCTTTTCCGTCGCTTCCCACTGCCCGGCCAAAGGCCCTGTCCAAACAGGCAGATCCGCCAAGCATAACACGGTCACACCTCGCCAGCCATAACGTGCAGCCGGTCCTGGGGGATGGGTGCCGAACCGGGGCTGGCTGCGGGTGGGCTCACCCCTTTCCCTTCACGGTGCGCCCGGGCAGGTCCCTTTTCTGGAACACTCTGGTGCTGCTATTGTTTCCAGCAAGAGACTCACACTTTCAAATTTTGGCATAGCTCTTTTCTTTCCCTCTCACATTTTGAACTAACTTACGCCTTTTTCAGCATAATAGGTGGAGACAGGTAAGTTCCCTGACTTATTTCCTATAGGAACTGACGTGGTGGAAATCAGGCAAATGTTAAGAAAGCTGGAGCCCAAATAAATGGTCCTCTACCATAGAGTCAGATGGACTGTATCACTACCAGGTAGAAATGAAGAAGACGTACATACAGACAAAAATTCATGAGATTTTTAATACCTGAGATGTATAGCTTTGATAGAAACATTTCCTAGGGTTTTGGGAGGAGACTAATATGATCATTTACTTCCGATGTACCATTTTCCCTTGCCTTTTTTTTTTTTTTAGGATTTTATTTATTTAGAGAGAGCAGCAGAGGGAGAGGGAGAGGGAGAGAGCAAACCTCAAACAGACTCCTCCCTGAGCACAGAGCCCAACGCAGGCCTTGATCTCTCCACCCTGAGGTTGTGACCTGAGCAGAAACCAAGAGTTGATGCTTAACCGACTGTGCTACCCAGGCACCACTTGCCCACATTTTCTCTTTTCCTTTATGGGATTTTTCTTGCCTTCTTTACGGTCTTACCTGCTTAGGTCGCTTGGCATCTCTAGTTATATTTAGATCTGTGTGCTACACAGCTGTATGATATCAAAGGAAAAATGTCACTGTTTTTCATGTGCTAAAATAACAATATTTAGTTCAAACCGTACTATCTTAAACCTCAGGGAGCAACTCTACCAAATCACTTTCGCTTGTGAAAGCAGAGTAGAGACACAGCCCTCAGAGATCATGCACAGCAATCTAAAGGATAAAGATCTTATCCAAACACTGGCAGCATGCCAGATGGAAAAGCTGCCATAGGAAAAAAAAAAAATGTATTTCCAAAGATCATTTTATAATGGTCAATGGAAACCAGGTTTTCCTTCTCTTCTTTTTTTCTTAGATTGTATTACCCTTCAATCTTTTTTTGTCAGAGGGGAGCAAAGAGGAAAATTGTCATGTTTGCTTCTTTGCTAAATTGTCCATGTCTTCATTCCTCCATACCTTACTCATATCAAAATTCCTAATTATTTGAAACTTTGGTATCAAAAACTGTGGCTTGAATGTCATGACACTTCTTTTGGAAATTGCCTACTTGCATAACTACAGCTGCAAAGTCAAGAGAAAAAATTTTTTTTCTTAAGTTAGAGGGCTGTTTCAAAAATGTAATGCAAGGAAAATCATGCTTCTGCTTTGATTTTAATGATAGACCATCCAGATTGTACCTCAGGCAGTATAAACCATAAGCCCATTGCGAGTTGCCTTTGACTTAGCCTCAAACCTGCAGCCTGTAATTGGGCAAGAGCTTTGTATCATTTGAGCCCCACATCCTTTTGAGTTGTAGCTTAATCTATTTAATATAGGGTTCCTTCCATTATCAAGCTGACGGATTCCAGTTGGCTGGAGGCTAAGAGCTAGAAACAATGAGTAAAGACACTTAGATCTTTAGATCAGCATCCAGTTAGGAATATGCTAAATAATTACCAAATGGCTAATATGCTGTACCCTTTGGCGCAGACCTGGGACAAATAAATAGCTATCAGGAAAAGCTTAGTTTTTTTTTTTTTTAAGACCAGACATGCAAGATTTCTATAAAAGAAAGAAATACTCTCAAATTACAAATGGAAAATCATGAACAGTTTTTAGTACAACTTCTTTGAGATTTCTTCTAATTTAGTGACACGTTATGATTTTATTCCTTTAAAATTGGAGGTCGGGGTCATATATTGTGACTAACTCCAATATATTTAATTCCCTAAGAATGATCCTCTTGAGTTCAAGGATCTGAGAAGTACAGCTTGAAGCCTTGACAAGATTTTAATTAGAGCCTGGTGTAAATGGCTCATTTCAGGGGAGATTATGTTTCCAACTTGTCTAAATATGAAATTAGGGGGGAAAGCAGTGCTTTCTTACAGACTTTCCTTAATGTCACTCATTTTCTTCTCTACATCTGCAACATAGAGCCAAAGTTTTCCATTCCACAAGAATGTATTAGTCTGTTAAGAATTCAAATGTGATGACAGAATTGTTCTGAATTAACTTTATGAATTATAATATTTTTAAATAACAAAATAGATTTGGCATGTGGAAGGGTAACTATTTGGTGAAAAAATCAAATTATAAAATAATCCTCTTTGAATTCGTCTGTTCTTTAGATAAAGGCACATCAAATTCAATTTGTACTAGTTTGAACTTTTGTATTTTACCACCAGGGGGCAGGGTATGCTAACTATTGAATTAGTGAACTCAAAAAACACACTAGAGGCAGTTTCAGAATTTTTTTTTCAGAAAAATTCCCTGAATGGTTTCTCCATAGATCCTTTAGGGAAAGAGCTGTTGAATTGTTCACAGCATAATTTTCACATGAGTTATTAAAAAAACTGACTAATTAAAGTGTAAAACTACTAGAGCTCTTTTACAAGTAATTTTTATGATGTGGTAATTTGTTCCATTTAATTTTTAATAATCATGGGTTTAATTTAAAACTGCAATCATAAATGAATGAAAAGAAATTGAAAATAATGGTTTCTCATACATTCCCATGTTTATAGATCCCTTTCTTCATAATTATCTCAACTCATATTTCATGTATCTACATAGGAAAAAGTAATCTTCCTAACAAATTCACTGTGGAAACTTCAGAAAATACAGAAAAAAATACATTTAATCTAGAAAGTTTTTGAGAAAGTTGGGAAGACTGAATAAGCAAGGATAATCTGTTTTACTAGGTTTTCTTTGATGACCATTAGCCATTTCACCTGCCAACAAACGACAGTTATCTTTTGAGATTTGAAGTTAATTCAAGAACAGAACAGTTCAAAAGACAACAGAAATATGTAGCATGGGGGTTTTATATTCAGCTTTCTGAGGTCAGACTTTTTGGAAGAAAAGACAATTGCCTTGGATTTGAAATTGTAAATTTTCACTTGTGCTAGTATAGCTGAAAAGAGTATTTCAAAAGCAAAATCCCAAATAGGCATAGGACTTATAAGATAAAGGATTTAAAATATATGCAACTTTGAATTGAAGTATAATGGACATACTAGTTTCAGATGAGACCAACTAGTTTCAGATGATTTGATATTTGTATATCTTGAAAAACATTCAATATGTCTAGTTAACATACCCCATACATAGTTATAAAATTCTTTTCTTGTGAAGAGAAATATTAAGATTATTCTCTTAGCAACTTTCAAATATGCAATACAGTGTTATTAACTCTAGTCACCCTTTTATCCACTATATTCTAATGAGGTGATTATTTTATGACTGGAAATGTGTACCTTTTGACCCCTTCACCTATTTTGCCAATCCTCTACTCCCTCCCTCTGATAACCTCCAAGCTGTTTTTTGTATCTATGATTTTGGTGTTTTTGTTTTTAAGATGCCACATATAAGTGAGGTCACACAGTATTTGCCTTTCTCTGTCTGCCTTATTTCACTTAGCGTAATGCCCCCCAGATCCAACCTTGTTGTCTCAAATGATGAAACTCGGTTTCTTTTTTATGGCTGAATAATATTCCACTTTAATAATTAAAGTGTCTGGGGCGCCTGGGTGGCTCAGTGGGTTAAAGCCTCTGCCTTTGGCTCAGGTCATGATCTCAGGGTCCTGGGATCGAGCCCCTCATCGGACTCTCTGCTCAGCTGGGAGCCTGCTTCCTCCGGTCTCTGCCTGCTTCTCTGCCTACTTGTGATCTCTGTCTGTCAAATAAATAAAATCTTTAAAAAAAATAATTAAGGTGTCTTTGAAAGAGAAAACTGGAGTTAAATATATTCAAGATAAACTGCTTTTATATACAAGAACATGTGATTCTGTATTGATCCTGTTGACCATTCCTTTAATATTATCAATGGTGAGGCTTAAAAACCTTATTAGAAGTAAGTATAAATTCCTCAGGTACATGAACAATGTCTTTACTCCTCTCCTCATTTCTTCTCAGTGTCCAAGCAAAACCTATGATCCACTGATTAAATCCACCCGAGATTTCCCAGATGACGTCATCAGTTTCATAAAGCGGCACCCTGTGATGTTTAAATCAGTATATCCTGTTGCGGGAGGACCAACTTTCAAGAGGATCAATGTGGACTACAGACTGACCCAGATCGTGGTGGATCACGTTGTTGCAGAAGATGGCCAATATGATGTAATGTTCCTTGGAACAGGTATGCTAAAACCAGATTATGATTTCTTCCCAAAGAATTTTTCAGTATTAGATAAAGAAAACGAAAACTTCCAAAGGATTATTGGTCAAAATTGAACTGGGTAATAAGTAGCTAATATCTAGTCAGTATTCCTTAACATTGCATAACACATGCTTTTAAGTGACCGTTGTAAATATCTCCCTGCCTGCTTTAGTGTTATTTGAGATTTCAAAATATATTTGTATGTTATGACTACAATATGCCTACTTGAGTAGGTGCTCAACACATATTTGTTGATTGACTATGGACTAAAATTAAACGAGTACAGCAAAGCAATGTTTCTTTTCAAACTTCACATTTTCCTGTCTCAAGGGAGATTTTTGACAAACCCCCTCAAAGGATCCCTTCACCCAATTTTGAGGAATTGCTGAGTTAAGATGGTTTTTCAAAAAATTAAGCAACATTTTTTAAAGATCTTTAAAAGTAGAAAGTTGTTGGAAATTATTTTTCCTCTCCTTGAATTTTGTGGACTAAGTATCACTTTCATAATTAGAGCCTATTTTATTTAATTTTTTCATCTGTCAACTCAGTAATTATAAAACTGTTTTAAAATCTCTCTTCAGAAGGAGAAATATTGCATATTTAGTATGTCTCAAAAAGAAAAAGAAAGAGGAAAGTATCATTTAATAAAATATCATGTGAATTCTAATGGCAGTAAAGGTAACATGCATCATTTAGACCAAAGTACTTCATCCTGGATAAATGTTATATGATTTCATGAATCAGGTCTTGCATAAAGAAATAGAAATTAATGGGTTTTCAAGAAATGGACATTTTTATTGAAATAGGTTTTCAGAACTACAGAACAGTTTTATTTTTTAAAATATACTGGTTTTACAAACGTAGGGTTTATCTGGGAGTTGTGTGTGTGCCACACTTAGAGGGCGTTTCTGGAATACCAGTTGTCAAGCCTGATTATGTTGCAGATGGCAATACCAAGACCCAGGAAAGGAAGTGATTCTCTCAAGACTATAGAGATTACTAGTGAAGTAACAAAATTTGAGATAGTTAGTCTCTCACAAATTCCAAGGAGTTTGCCACTTAATTTGCAGAGCCCGTCAAAGCATTCCTCGGTCAACATTTCCAGTGTTGTAAATGCCAGTCAGCCACTAGGTGGTACTACCTGACTTTTCCTGAGAAAATTATAAGGTAACTAAGATGGATAGATTTTCAATTACGACATTTGGAAAATGTATATTTAATATTTTTCAAAGATCCTAGAATCATTTAAAAACATTGCTAAAGAATTCAGACTATTTTGTGCAAATAAGATCATTACCATACATGTGAATATTCTTCAACCCAGTGGCAGAATTTAAAAGCATCTATTTTGTATAAGTTAATTTCCAAGTGAGATTTTTTTTCTTTTTTCTAAAACATTCTTTTGATTGTCTTTCTGTAATAACATGCTGCCTTAGAAACTGCAATAGTCTTTCAAATTTGGGTTACTCTTTTAATTAAACTAAAATAATTTTAAACAAAACTTCAGTTTCTAACCCATTAGTAAGGTTTCTGTAAATAAAACAGGTTTGATGAGTGCACTACAATTTTCAACATTGTAGATGGCTCCAGTGATTTCTCTATCATTTGTTAACATGACTTAAAAAGGTATATATCCTACCTTTCATGGTAAGTTGGATATAAGTACTGAATAAATACATCTTATGCTGAAAGAGAAAAAAAATTTATTTTAGTGTATTTGCACCTTTCAAATTAAGTTACAAAAAGGTCATTCCACTTTAGTTATAATTTCAACCTATATTTATATATTTATATATATGTCTCTTATATATAACTATTTATGTTTATATAAACCAATATTTATATATTATATAATACATATATTATATATACATATATGAGACATATATATTCCTTTGGCTAGGAATGTTCTTCAAGTATACATCTTTTAATATATTCTTTATAAGTATGTGTTTTATGAGCCAGAAACTATCATGTTTTGGAAGGAGAGAATCCCATCCATTAAACTTCCTTCTTGCATGCTTTATTTAATCCGACTTCTTGAGAGGCATTGAAAAAAAATGAGGGAAACAATGTGAGGGTTGCTGGGTATATACTTACAGCCAAACACTGAAGTCGAAACAGCTGGATCATAGGTAATGTATTTTTTCAGACATTGGGACAGTCCTCAAAGTGGTCAGCATTTCAAAGGAGAAGTGGAATATGGAAGAAGTAGTATTGGAGGAGTTGCAGATATTCAAGGTAAGATAATCCAGAGTTCCAGAAGAGACGACGAAACTTAACAACACTTGGTTTAGAACATTATGTTTAAATACACTGTCACTTTTCCTGGAGAAGTTTGTGCACTTAGCTCCTTTATTTTCCTTTTCCTTAGGCAATGGAAAAAAGTTGTAAAAGCAACTGAGAATGGGACTCCCCTTTCCCTGTGGAATACCACTAAATTCAGGGCTCCTGGGATTGCCCCTCATTACTTTATTCTCTAAGCATATGGTCAGACAAATCACCCCAGTAGATGAAATCTGGGGGTCTCTTTGACTATCCAGATGCTTTTCTACTTCATAAATTTTACTTTTCAATTTTTCCTCAATTGAATTTCAGAAAACTGGAAGAGTGTATAAATCACAGGTCCCTACTTTTCTGTAAGGAATTTTTTTTTTTTTTAAGTTGCAAGAGAGTAAGTCTTCATTCTTTATGTATGCTACATTCCCCTAAAGAGTTAGTACATCTAAAATAATAGTTTTCCAGATTTGGGGAATGTCTGACTTTTTGGGAGGGGGAATTAAATTTTGTGTTCCTTTTATTTTTTAGGAAACTTTTTAAAATTATGTTAATCACCATACAGTACATCATTGGTTTTTGATGTAGTGTTCCATGATTCATTGTTTGCATATAACACCTAGTGCTCCATGCAATACATGCCCTCCTTAATACCCATCCCCAGGCTCACCCATCCCCCCACCCCCCTCCCTTCTAAAACTCAACATTTGTTTCCCAGAAACCATAATCTTTTAACAGTGCATTTGAACTGTGGTGTTCTTTTTGGACATTCGGTAACATTTAGTTTAAAATTATTTTCTGAGAATAACATTAGAAGTAAAATTTTATTTCTGAGAGGAGCCTGTAAAAAATATGTTGTTCCTTTCATAGCATTGTGTTGAGAGAGTTCATTAAATTGGGCTGTTTCCCTGTGAACACCTACCTCTTTAAAATGGGGAAGAACCCTCCACGGGGAGGAAAGCGAAGTAATTAACATGCTGAATTCCACAGGATCCTGTTTACATTGTGATGATAATAGTGGTCAAGGAGTTAACTAGAACAAGATCTGCTATGTGGCATCTACCAAAAACCAAGTCCTGGGTGGTTCCTGAGGAAGAAGCTGATGTCAAATATAAGCGTGAACCCAGAAGCCAAAAATATAACTCCAACAATACATAGGGCACTTTAGAATAAGGTTTACGTGGTCAAGAGGAATTGTTCAGATTCCACCATTAAGATTAAATAATGTTTTCTTCATTAAAAAAAAAAAGGTACTGGATAGAACTTTCTCATTTTAACATCTTTCTGTCATTTTTTATGTATTTTCTTAAACTTTTGGTATTTGCTTCTATTTATCAGTTTGAAAAAACTGACCAGTGAAACATGAATGAGTAATAAATAGATTGGTAGATGATAAACAGATGAAAAATTTTTGAAACTTGCCATCCTTTAGTTGGGTAACTTTTGTGTTCATGTTTCTAATTTTCTATTGAATGCACAAAGCCATAATTTCTACAAATAAAGCTAACATTAGTTCACATCACAAAATCACGTGCATCAGTAGCTTGCAGTGCTCCAGAAAGAACCATGCTCATCAGCAAGGAGCACTGTAACTCTTCAGAACTCTGCTACTTAAACAAGCTTTTGAACTACCCATCTAAGGAAGAGCAGAATGCGGGAATAAATAATTATGGAGATGTTCTTGTCAACGCCTCTTTGAATTATATGGAAGCAGTTAAGATAAGCAGATTTAGAAAGAGAAGTCTTATGGGTAACTGGGAGCGATTTTTCAATGCGGAGTATTTCTTCATACATTTAGGTAATTTTTCTGGAATAAGATACTTTAAAATACCTATTATGATCATTTCTATTAAGGTGGAATTTACAACACATAGAAAGGAAATAGCAAACATTCATATCCTTTTCCGCCCTGTGTAACAGACCCTTGAAGTTTACTTCAGTGATCTTTGGTACATGATAAAACAACATATTGGCTACTATAAAAGACATTAATAATTATCTTTATTAACATTTGACTTCTTTTTTCAGCACTCATCAATCATCTTGAACATGGAGCTGTCTCTGAAGCAGGTACTTTCTAATTTTTGTGTAAAAAATAGCCACAAAAGCAACAAGTTGCTCGAATTCAAGTTCACTGTAAGGAAAATCTACTGAAGTTGGAAGTTAAATTGTAAATAATGTAAAAAGCTCTAGATTATTTGTTTCTTTTTTAACCCATTAGAGGCCATTGTTTCAGTCTTGCCTTAGTTAAAGTAGAACCAAATAGCATTAAGTGAATGATATATTCTCCACTTCCCTTGGCTCTTGAAAACTGAGCTCACTGTCTTTGTCTCTTGAGGATGTGTTTCTGTCAAGGCCATAAGAAATTCATGTAGAACACCAGCCCTAATCACTAAAAATGATTTTTAATCAGGGAATCTAGAAGTTAGACTATGGATGGTGGTGGTGAAGAGTCCAAGAGTCAACCTCCAGCCTTCCACTTAGTACCTGTCTCTTGGAATCAAGTTCCTTAATGAAAGCGAAGTTAGGGAAATAAAATCCACCTCCTGACGAATGGATGCTGCATGCAAAATTCTAAACAGAGAGTTGCTACATTGTGAGTGGGAAGTAAGAGGTAGGTAATAATAATAACAATAATGATATTAGATTCCGCAGTTCTCAGGATACTCCAAATCTTAATTGTTTCAAAAGTTCAGACTTGCATTAGGCTAAGAAAGCTATGGCCCCATGTGTTGAACCATAAGGCATTGCTAACATTGTCTTAATCTCCTGTGCCTCGTTGTGATACAGAGGTTATTAGGGACAAGATCTAAATAGGTTTCTTCTTTGGTCTTTTCCATTAATTTGTCCATGCAACATTTAGTTCTTGAAAGCCTACTTCTGTCCTTGGAGGGTATAGAAATGAATGGCTGGCATAGTCCTTAACTTCCGAAAGCTCACAGTGGAGCCAGGAGATGAAGGAGGAGCACGCTGACAGTGCAGAGCAATAGTGGAAGCACATACTGGGGGAACACGAGGGTGTCTACGAAGGAGCTAGGAGGAGCAGAGGAAGACAGCACGGAGAAGACACATGTACCCGAACTATGAAGGATGTTTCCATTAGCCAAATAAATTCAGAGGGTGGGATGAGGAAGCCTATGTCAAGGGGAGGAGGAGAACATCTGGAAAGTTGTGAAGAGTGAGAGACCTTGGCTTCTTCTAATAAGCTGGTGGACACTTAGAGCAAAGGGCATATGTGTATGCAGGAGACAAGGAGGCTAGAAATGAATCTGGGATTATAAGAGGGAGGAGATTAGGGACATCCTTCTATATCCTCCTAAGAAGTTTAAAAATTTTATCTAAGGACAATGAAAACTTTAAAGATTTTCAGCAGGAATGTGTTGGGATAAGATTTTCCTCTTAGGAGGGTCCATGTGGTGTGCCATGATGGAGGACAGACTGAGTCCTGGGGTTGAAAACAAGGCTGAAGCCAGGGGGAATACGAGGACACTTAGAAGTAATCCAGGAAAGAAATGATAAGGTGGTGGCAGTGGCAGAGGCAGAGGAGAGGAAGAGAAGTGAAGGGCTCTGTGTAAGAGAATAGAAAGGATACGGTGGCTGACCGAGAGAGGCGGACCCAGGGACAACTGCTCCCTTTGTGTCCTGGATGACCTAGGAGGTGCCTCTCACCAAAGCAGGATAGCGGGGCTAGATTGAGGGCAATCAATAAGTCCACCTCAATGTTGTTTTCAAATGGCGCTGACTGTGGACAATAAGAAAGGCAAAGGAATGAGGATAGAAAAGAAGGGACACCTAATGTGTTTTGTTTTGTTTTGTTTTGATGGAGAGAGAGCAAGAGAAGGACCAGAAGCAGGGAGAGTGGGAGAGGGAAAAGCAGGCTTCTCCCTGGGCAGGCAGCCCTTTGCGGGGCTCGATCCCAGAACCCTGGGATCATGACCTGAGCTGAAGGCACACACTTAACGACTGAGCCACGAAGGCACCCCCTAACATTTGATGCAAAGAAAGGAATCATCAACGGAAACCAAAGTCTTAAGCAGAAGTAAAGACAGAGAACAAGAAAAAGTGAAGGGAGTTTCAAGGAAGGTGTCATTCTTGGCATCAAACACCATAGAGAATTTAAGTAAAGCAGACATTGGACAAGGGGGCATTGCATTTAGCAACAGGGAAGTCCTAGCTAACATTGTCATGGTTTGGAGAAGTATAAGACATGTTTCAGCAGGCTGAGTACATATATGGTGTTTATGTCAATATTTATTACTCAGGTCTTTCCCCCTTGTTCAATGTTTGACATGGTCCAGGAGTATTGACCATGACTTCACCAAAGGCACAGACTCTGGCTTATTCCACTCTATCATCTGTCTCCCTGCCTCCTCCAGCACATACACTCTACATAGCAGTGCATTCTTCTCAGGGCTTATTTTCAAAATGTGATTTTGTTTTTAGGATCCCGTAGCCTTTCATTCGTGATGTAGCATCTTTCGAACTTCCTTAATACTTTCTTCACAGTGATACCAAATATTTTCTCTTCCTCTTATAACCCATTTTCCTTCAGGGATCAGTAAATACTTCATTAGCAAGTGAGATGGTTCAAACCACAAGGAGGTTTTACAAATCCCTTTCCAGTCATCTCTCATGTCGGAGGCCATGGCAGAGGAAGACCCTCAGTGTTGCCTGAAACATCTGTGCTTGATATAATCTACCAAAGCATATTTTCAACCATTGAGAAAGAACTTGACGTCTTAATTCCTCAGTCTAACAGCTGGCTTTTGACCTTCTTAAATTACTCCAAGGTTAGCCTAGCCCTAGAATGCTGTCCATTTCAGTGTCAACGTCATCCAACCACCAGCCTTGCTGGAGTAGAAGCGATTGACTTATCCTCGTCTTGGTTATGTTTCTACACAAGGGCTTATGTTCTGTACAAGGGATACCCAAGAAGACAGATTTAGGTCTGTGGTGTGGTATTCAAGAAAGGAAAGTTCTTAAGACTGGTCTGAAAGATGCTTCCAATTCATTTGTCTTGCCTGATTTGTAGCAACAATTGTACATTGGTTCCCGCGATGGATTGGTTCAGCTCTCCTTGCACAGATGCGACACGTATGGGAAAGCCTGTGCAGACTGTTGTCTGGCCAGAGACCCCTACTGTGCCTGGGATGGAAATGCATGCTCTCGATACGCACCCACTTCAAAAAGGTAAGAGGCACATCGAGTTAAGGGATAGCCTTCTTTTCTACACAGTGAATATCTCACACGCATCCCTCATCTTACAGTTTCACGAGAAAATAGATAGGAAACATGGTGTACGGTAGGAATATTACAATTCCGTGTTGTTTTACACTTGTGCATAAAACTCAGTGTGGAAGGAGAATAAAATAGAATGTTCTGAAGTTCTGAAATGGGGAACTTTAGAAGTTCAGATCAATCGTTTATATTCTTTTCCCTTCTCTATGTTAAATACCGTTACAAGTTTGTTTTCCTCGACTACTTTGCTCTTGCTTACATTCCTCCCTTCTTCTCTTATTTTTAAAATATGTATATATTTAGCCTTACTGTTTTGCAAATAAAGTTTGAATATATGCGTTTGTAGAAGTGTGGATTAGACACAGCCCACAGCACATCGCAGTGACTTGATACAATTTTATTTCTACTACAGTAACTCTAACTTGGTCAGCTTCTGCCACTCAGAACTACTTAAATGTCAAAATGTTGCTCTGCTGTTTGCTGCTCATTGCTTTATGTGCTCTTAAAAATCATGCTATTTCGAGCCAACAAGACACACATGGGCAAAAGCACTGCAAAGCCATTCAAGCACTGATCTGGTTTCAGCACTGTTTTCAACAGCGAAATAATTGGAAAGAACCTGAATGCCATCAATATGACTGATGCTGGCTAAATGTATTACGATTACAATTTTTAAAATGTGTATTCTAGTAACATTTTTTTCTTTAGTATTGTTCAAAGTGTATTTCTCCTCTATGTAAAATGTCAGCAAATTGTATATGGTGGGGTTTTGTTTGTTTGTTTTTGTTTTTTTATCTTTAGGTCTGTAGTAACAACATATGATAACAGGTGAGCATAGGTTAGTCCCATTAGTGCATACACACTTGTTTCTTATTTGACAAATCAGTCAAATTTCAAATTCCAGGAATCACAGATTAAATGTAGAGTACAACAGCAGGTACTGCTTAAAATTAGGAGATATTTTATACTCCCTGAAAATTTTACATTAGATGTGTATGGAGAGATACTATTATTACAAGTCAAAAGTAAAAAAAAAAAAACATTTCATTATAGTTTTTGGCTAAGAATATACTTATGATAGGGAGTCCTTAGGGAATAGTTTTCTTTTCTAGAAGCTAAAAAACAAGAGTGCTCATTAGTTGGTAATGAACCTTCAGTTTGATGAATTGTCCCTGTTTCTTAAGAAGCCAAGATTTAAAAACATTCTTGACCTTATGTACCTTATGCCATCATAATTTTTCTTCTTATATTTCCCAAGACTGTATCTCTGATCTTTCAGACATGCCGCTGTGATATTTTCCCTTACCTTAACATAACGTGCACATGAGCCAAAAAAATGTACATGATAGATGAATCTTGTACGGGGTTATCACCTGATCAGCACTGCCCTGAAGGGACACCCTAGATGTTGCCGAGTTTACTGTGACTTTTATAGTTTCCAAAGTGCCGACATCAAACAGCCAAAGCCAATGAAAATATATTGTAAGAACGTAAGACTTCCATAACATTGATGTAGCAGCTTTTTCTTTTTTTATGTAATAGCTATTGTTTTAAGGAAAATATGGGACAATAATGAACAACACCACTATTTATTATTATCATTATCTCTACTCTCTGAAAAATAATGTGAACAAGCTCTTGGCAGATGGGTGTGACTTTGGGCCGCTCCTGCCATATCGAACTTGTACTTCCATCTGCACTGACAATATTTAACTAGTTGCTTAATCAAATCTATGTAACAGTGAATCTTCATAGGGTAAAGAGTTGTGTATTTTTGTTTACTTCCCTGCCCACTAACTAAAGCTCTTATATCTTACTACTTTCCCATTGACTGATGGAAAAAAAAAAAGAGGGTAGGGAGAGTTGCCCCTGCTGGATGTATCTGAAACCTGGATTATATTTATAGTTGACCTGTTCGACTTAATGATTTGTCTAAAGTCAGAGGAGCACTGGGTGTTATATGCAACTAATGGATCATTGAACACTACATCAAAAACTAATGACGTACTACACATTGGCTAACTGAACATAATAAATAAATAAATAAATAAATAAACAAAATAAATAAATAAACAAACAAGTAAATAAATAAATAAAATAAAGGTCTAGTCAACTTATTTCCAAAACAGGATTCACTCTCTTAGGACTCTATTGTTAGTAGTATTTGAAGTACAATAAGAATGATGGGAATATTGCCCTGTATTTAAATTGAGCCGTAATACAAGAGTAGTTCTGCTCTGCCACTGTTATTAGTGTTAGATGCAGACTTTATATATTACCGGCTCTCAGGCTTGATGTTCTAAACCATTTAATCCCTTTTCCATAGGCGAGCTAGACGGCAAGATGTGAAGTATGGAGACCCAATCACCCAGTGCTGGGACATAGAAGACAGTAAGTATAGCTTTAATATGCTTTTCTCCCATTTAAAACTTTAAGCCTAGTCTTTGTGTGTCTTTTTATTGTATGACTTAAAATATCTACTGTATAGGAAGCTCTTATTTTATATAATGGGTATGTTCTGGAAAAGCAACAGGAGATTTTATAAATCAACCCCCTGTCTACATGCCTAAGTGAATAATCCTTTGTTATATCATTATTTGTTTCATATGTCTTTTAAAATTCCTGTCTTTTTTTTTTTGTACTTTTTACTGCCTTATCCATTCTTGTAAAGTTTAGAAACTGCTAATAAAGACAAAACAGGATATAGTCCAAAACATATAGACATTTAGGATAAACTCAGAGACCCTCTCAGAAAAGTTTTGAGAATGTAGGCACTTGTTAGAAAGTTAGCCTATGCATTGTTTGAGCTCATTATTAACTCATGGTTTCGTTCAATCCGTAAATGTTTATTAAGTGACTTCCATGTGCATGTAATTGTCCTGGTTGTACACTTTGGGACAAAGAAACTCCTTCGAGAGCTTAAGATTCTTTGGGGAGATGTCATAAAGCACAATTAGTGAAATGGGAGTTTAACAAAGAGAGTGATCACCAGAGGCTGTATTGTTCAGAGAAAATTTCATGGAAGATCTTGAGAGTCTGAGTACAAACAGGACAGAGTGGAGAATAGAAAGACTTCTGTCGAGTCTGATAACAGAGAAAAAAACTCTGAGTATATATTCCAAAGCTTTGGTTGCTTTCCACTGTCAAGCTCTACCTTCAGATAGAAAGTGTATGCGCTTGCCTGTGCGCACGCACGCACGCACACGCGCGCATATGTGCACACGCGCGTGCACACACAGCTGAATGCTTCCTCACATGGTTAGTGACCACCCCAGCACCGAACGAACAACCCAAACTTCGTAGTCTATAACTGGTAGCCTGAAAGTTTTGTAGTTTAAAAACAAAACATTATTTATCATTCATAATTTCACTCCAGGAAAATAAGCTCCGGTCCAACATCGTATGTTCGACTCCCCGTTCTAATGTGTGGGTGACTCCCCGTCATGTCCAGTGTTTCATTTAGCAGTCATTGCCGTGTGCTCTGATTCGGTTTTTCATTCGCACACGTGAGATTTGTCAGGAACCATTATGGGTATTGAGGATACACCAGTGAATAAAAACAAAACAACCCTCGCATCCCTGGAAATTCTGTTCACGTTGTGTTAGGGGAAGGAAAGGCAGGAAACTTAAAAACAAGTACAATATATTCTGTCAGATAGTGATAACTGTCGTAAAGAAAGTGACAGAAAGCAGTTCCTGCGGAGGGTGGAGACAATTGACTCATCATATCCTGTTCCTGCTATAAGCCACCACACCCAGCTTTGCTCACTGGCAGCTCACCGTCATCATCACTGCCCCTGATCGATTTTTTTGTCAGGGTCTCCAGCAGTTTCCACCTTGCCGGATCCAATGGCCAATTTTTGGTTCTCATTTTTACTTCATGTCCAACTCCCTCCTCCTTGAAACACAGTCTTCGTTTGACTTCCATGCAGGCACGTCCTAGAAACAGTCCTTATGGTCCCATGAGAGCTGAGTGCTTATTATTTAGGAATTTTGTGAGCTGGTTTTAAGCCATCCGTGGCTTGATTTCAGGTGTAGTGGTAGTTTTTGCAGTAGGAAAATGAACAAGAACTACTAATCAGGGCTATTTGTTTTCAAAGAGATGTGTCCCAGCACCCTTAGCCTTCATGGCCCTACATCCTTTTGGTTTTCCCCCTACTGTACAGGCTGTCCTTCTGAGGGTTCTTCAACTGTCTTTTCCATCCCACCATCTAAACCGAAAATCTCTGCCTCTTCACTGCCTAACGCCATCAATTTCAATAGGATCTGAGGCAATTCCCTCCCAAATCCAGAGTTCAGTTCTAAACCCTCTCCTATGTGCAGACTTGTATGACTTGCATTCCCAGCCAAGAGCCCCTCTTAGATATCTAATAAACATCCCAAATTATATCTGAGAAAGAATTTGTGTTTTTTCCTAGACTTTATTGTTCTGCAGACCTTCCCATATTAATAAATAGTACTCCCATTCACTCAACTGCTTAGGGACAAAAGCAGCTAGGTGTCATCTTTTTATTTTTCTCTTCCTTTCACATCCTAGTACTAACCTCTCAGTAAGTCCCTATAGCCCTGTGGCTGTGTCTGCTCCTACTTCTCATTCCTTGCGTACATGTCCACTTAACCCAAACCCCCACCACACCTCTCCCAAAGCTGTTTATTTGGTTCCCCTGCTTCCATACTTACACCTGGCCAGTCTCCGTTCCACTTGGTAGCCTGAATGACCTTTCCAAAAACTTCAGCTTCTAAGAACAATTAGAAGAAAATCCACAGCCTTTACCATGGCCTCCAGACTCTGCTTACTCTAGCTCCTGGCATGTGCTCTGAGCCCCTCTCGCGGTCGCTGTTACATGGCTCACTCACCGGCTTTCTCTTTCTCAAAAGCCCCAGCCTCATTCTGGCTGCAATTAGACTTGAACTTGTTTCCTCTGTACCTGAAGAACTCTTTAGGTACTGTGTCCGCATAGCTCCATCTTCACACCATTTAATTTTATGGTTAAAATGTTCATTTCTCAGAGACAACTCTTCTGACCATCCTGTCTGAAATACCTTTCTCCCCATTCTACCGCCTACTCTCTGATCAGCTTTATTTTTACTTGTAGGGCACAGCATGCCCAAATGCTATATTCTTTATCGATTTCATTCACTTGGTGATTTTGTCTCTGTCCCTGAACGTATACTGTGCCATAGGCACACAAGAATGTTTGGGTAGTGCATGGTAAAGGGAAGCAAGACAAATTTTAAAGCACGCGAAGCACCAATAATTAAAGCAAAGACAAATTTTAAAGCATGCGAAGCACCAATAATTAAAGTCAGAAAGACCTCACAAAGGTTTGGCTAAGTTTGTGAGTTTATGTGTACTCTGCAGCTTATAAGGAGTTGTTTCATATTTCTAAGACAAAGCATTTTTTAAAAAAAATAGAATTGACACCTGTAGAAGAGAAGCCAAAGACAGAGAATCAACTGTGGGAATTAAAGTAAAAGGTATGAGGGTATTTACAAACTATTTGCAATCTTAAGGAGATTTTTTGGTTAAGTTATAACTGACATATAACATATTAGTTTCAAGGATATAACAATAATGATTGGATATTTGTATACATTGCGAAATAATCACAATAGGTGTAGTTAGCATCCCTCACCACACATAGTTGCAGAAAGAATTGTTTCCTTGTGATGAGAACCTTTAAGGGGTCCTCTCTCGGCAACTTTGAAATATGCAATACCATATAATTAACTATAGCCATCGTGCTATATATTACATCTCCGGGACTTACGCCTTTTGACCCCCTTCGCCCATTTTGCCCACCTTCCACCTCCTGCTTCAGGCATCTGCCAATCTGTTCTCTGTATTTGTGAGCTCAGTCTTTTTGTTTGTTTATTTTTAGATTCTGTATATAAATGAGATCATGTGGTATTTTTCTCTCTCTGACTTCACTTAGACTAATGTCCTCAAGACCCATCCCTGTTGTCACAAATGGCAAGATTTTCTTCTTCTTTATGACCAAAAAATATTCCATTGTGTAGCTATCTACCACATCTTCTTGATCCATTCATAATTGATGGCACCCACTGCTGTTTTCATATCTTGGCTATTGTAAGTAATGCTGTAGTGAACATGGAGCGATACATCTTTTTGAGTTAGTGTTTTTATTTTATTTTTTTCAGGTAAATACCTAGAAATGGAATTGCTAGATCATATGTTAGTTACATTTATCATTTTTTGAGGAACCTCTAAATTGTTTTCTACAGTGGGTGCACTAATATACATTCCCACCAGCAGTGCACAAGTGTTTCCTTTTCTCCACATCCTCGCCAACACTTCTTATTTCTTATCTTTTAGACAATAGCCAGTCTGACAGATAGGAGGAGACACGTCACCGCGGCTTTGATTTGCATTTCCCTGATGATGAGGCCTGCCGAGCATCTTTTCATGTACCTATTAGCCATCTGTTGTGTTTTCTTTGGAAAAATGTTTATTCAGTTCCCCTGCTCATTTTTAATTGGATTATTTGGGGAGTTTTGCTACGTAGTTGCATGAATTATTTATATAATTTTTATGTTAAGCTCTTATCAGATATATGATTTGTAAATATTTCCTCCCACTTAGTAGATTGACATTTCATTTTGTTGATGGCTTTCTTTGCTGTGCAAAAGCTTTTTAGCTGGGTGTACTCTTACTTGTTTATTTCTGTTCGTGTTGCTTGTACTCGGTTATCAAGTTAAAAAAATCATCAGTAAGATCAGTGTCAAGGAATTTACTGCCTATATTTTCTTCTGGGAGTCTTATGGTTTCAAGTCTTACATTTACGACTAAAATCCATTTTGAGTTAATTTTTGTGTGTGGTGTAAGATAGTGGTCCAGTTTCATTGTTTAACATTTGGCTGTCCAGTTTTCCCAACAACATTTGTGGAAGGGAAGTCCTTTTCTTATTGTATATTCTTGACTCCATTGTTGTGAAATATTTGGCTATCTACATGTAGGTTGATTCCTGAAACTCTCTATTTAATGTTCTATTGATCTGTGCCTATTTTTATGCCAATACCATACTGTTTTAATTACTATAGTTTTCTAATATGGTTTGAAATCAGGGAGTGTGATACCTCCAGCTTTGTTCTTCTTTATCAAAGATTGCCTTGGCTGTTCGGAGTCTTTTATGATTCCATCCAAATTTTAGGATGGTTTAGTCTTCTGTGAAAAATGTCATTTGAATTTTGATCGTGATTGCATTGAATTTGTAGATTGCTTTGAGTAGTATGGACATTTGGCAATATTAATTCCTTTAATCCATGAGCGTGAAATTCCTTTTCATTTACTTGTGCCTTATTCTGTTTCTTTAATGAATGCTTTATAGTTCTTAGTGTGTAGGTGTTTCACATCCTTAGTTAAGTTTATGCCTAGATATTTATTCTTTTTGATGGAATTGTAAATGAGATTGTTAAAAATGGGAACTGTAAAACTCAGAAATGAAACGAAGATTATTGGTAACAACAATGAATTCATTGCTTGTCAAACTGATATCATGAGGACTTTGTGTCAAGGGGCCACTGTTTTTACTTATTGGATAAAGAATTCCACATATTCAGCTATTTCACTTCTCTCCTTGATTTCACTAATGTAGATTTTACTGACTTGACCGGTTCTTTGCTTGAATCAGTCTAATTGAGTTTCTCTCCAGTCCTGGCCCCATCACCTTACAATCAGCCTGCAAACTCCCTGCTTTGTTCAGGAGCTCTTTTTTCTCAGGAGAATGGCATCTGTTGCTATGAAATAATGCGTGTCTTTCTCTTCCGTGATTGACACTGCGATCTTTCTGTGCATTAGGAATTTATTAACTGTGAAAATCATAGATATAATCTGTTGAATTGGCAGGGATCATGGATATCTTACAAGTTTCAAATGGAATCCACACATTTTGAAGGTTAGAGGAGGTTAATTCATAATGGTGTCAGCACGCCTGACTTAATCATTGCTGGTAAAACACAAACAAGTTCAAAAGAAGTTTCTTCAAAGGAAAGTCTAACTATTGGATAAATGTGCATTCATGCCATTTGCTGATAATTTTGTCTGCTTACATTTAGGATTCATAGAGGTCCCTTAAGCCTTACTCTTCGTTTATGCCTAAAATGCTAAGTAGGCCCATCTGCAGAATTGAGACATCTGAATATATGATGAAAAAGTGCATGTTTGGGCCAGGCTGAACAGCCGTCATTTTTTATTTGATCAAATTTGAGCTACAGATCTTAGATCACACATGGGACACAGCCTTTGGCTACTCTGGATGGAATGTATTTCAGATGGTGCAGTTGATTTAGGAGAATAAGGTGTCTGAGACACTGTTCCTTTAGCATCCCATTAACTGTCTTATGGCAAATGCATGTTGGGCTTAAGTATCCCTCTTTGAATAAAAGAAAACTGTTTTTTTGGTAGATAATGCAGATAACGTCCACATTTAGAGTATTACAGCATCTAGCTCAATAATGTAGCTAGAAGCATCTAGGTCAATATTATCATTATAGAATTTTATCAGTTATAGACCATTGTACTTACTTTTTTGATATTAAAATGTCTTCATGTTATATGGTCAGCTCTGTGGATCAATTCATGATGAATTTCTCTTAAAGGATGAAGTAAATTCTTCTTTTCAAACTATTCACAAAATTGGTTGCATTTTATTACAAATTAAAACATGTGAAGCATTGAAAGACACTAAAGTTTTATTCAATTCAGCTCAGAAAAATAGATTCAAGGTTTTGAGTTGGGTCTTATGAATTCTTATTTGAAAAAAAAATTGCAAATTGTTAATATATTCATGAAAGGTTAAAATTGCAGTGCAGGGATAGAGTTTTAAAAGTCAATCTATTAGATAATATTTGACTCTTAGGTAACAATATTATATTGTGAATTTCTCTTTAATAATATATATGAATCTTTCCCCCATAGCATCTGTTCTAAATCAGTCTATTTTCCCATTGCTTTTAAAATAAGGTCAAGGTTAATCTCCTATTCCATGTTTGCTTTCCAGGCATTAGTCACGAAACTGCTGATGAAAAGGTGATTTTTGGCATTGAATTTAATTCAACCTTTCTGGAATGTATACCTAAATCCCAACAAGCATCTATTAAGTGGTATATCCAGCGGTCAGGAGATGAGCATCGAGAGGAGGTAAGTTAGTAGTCATCAGAGAATGATCCCCTTGAGGGAAATAGTGTAAAAGTTAAATCAAGTTTTGGTTGAGAGAGATGTTCAATGTTTGGTGCCATACAGTACTCTCATCACTATTTGATTAAAAGGAAGATGGCAATTTATACTCACTAACATGAAACTTAACAATGCATAGGAGATAAGAATAGGACAACTTAATACAGATACATTAACAAAGTATATTTAAAAGAGGATTGAATTTTTATGAGAAATTTACATAATTTTTTTCAAAAATTTTTTTCTCATTGTCTATATTATAGAACAATTCCCTGATCAAAAATAAGAACACAATATTTTCCTCCACAGTAAGATAAGGACTAAATTCTAACTCAGATTGTGTTTAACTTCTATCATAAAATAAAGCAGGTTGAATATGTATAACAATAGAAAGATCTATCTTTGTTATATCATATGGGCAAGTTGGATAACTAGCTGGACATGTACCTTTTCACAGTTATATATTAAAATTAAATCAACAGGGGAAAGTAACATGGATGTTCCCTTCATCTTTTTTTACTTTTTCTGTTTCAGTCTTTCTAGGACATACATAGGAGTTGAAACAGTCCAGAGATTTTGTGAGATAGATAGGTTATGTATGTTACTGAACTTAATGAGACGATTTCAGGTAGCTTGAGAAATCCTGTATTATTATTAGAGGGCCATGAAACAAAGGGAAATTGGCAGGGTTTTTATTTTTCTCTTTTAGTGCCTGAGAGAAACCAGTGACACTCATTACAGAGTTCTAATAGTCCCAAGATTAAACTGAGGACAAGATAGTGAGTAATCGAATGAACTTGGATTCAGAATTAGATGTTTGATTGAATTCTGGTTCTGTGTTCTTTGGTAATATCACTGAGCCCATATGGGCCAGAATTTTCTAATGTGAACAAAATAAATACAAAAGTTACTATGAAAATAAAATGAGAAAATACAGAAGAGAATGTGAATTTCAAAGCAGAGGATTATTCACAAGTGTAAAATACATGTATACAATTGCAGATACTCTCCATCAGGAAGATGTATGAAATATGAACTAGCACTGATATTCAGTTGACTGCTGAGGATAATGAGCAGGTCGTGACTTCTCTAACACTTAGTTTCTCTGTCACATAAATAGGCAGACCAAATGCTCTAAAATACAGCCTCCTTGGTAAGTCTGTAAACATTTAAGGGACACCAGGGTGGCTCAGCCAGTTAAGCATCTGCCTTCCGTTCAGGTCATGACCTTGGGGTCCTGGAATCCAGGTGGGCATCAGGCTGCTCAGTAGAGGATCTGCTTCTCCCTCTGTCTCTCTGATCGCACGCCCCCCAACTCATGCTCGCTTTCTCTTTCTCTTCTCTTGAATAAATAAATAAAATCAATAAAAAATAAGATAATGTATGTAATCAGTCAGACATTAGTATAATATAGTGGTTTTCAACTGCAGTCGATTTTGCTGCTACACTGTCCACGTCTGGCAATATCTAGAGACATTCTAGATATTGAACAGATAGTTACAGCTGGTGGGAGGTGGTGCGGAGGCTGCTCTTGGCGTCTTGCGGATAGAAGTCAGGGATAAAGCTAAACATTCTTCAGTTCACAATTCCTCACAATAAAGAATTCTGTTGTCCCAAACTCAGTGGTGCTGAGGTTGAGAAGCCTTGCAGTAGAAGGACCAAATTTTATCATAAGAAATTGATGTAAAGATGTGTTTCACTGTTACATTAAGGTGGTAAGACCTTTCTCTTCATCTGAAATCTTCGAAAACAATTTTTTAAACTAAAATGTTGACTCTTTACATAGTTAAAACCAAGGGAATACTCCAGTGTTTGTTATGTCAGATTTCTCCAATAAAACTTAATGCTTCATCATTACTGACATCCATAAATTCTAAGATTATGGCATATCCACATTTATACTAAATGGTTATTTTAAGAGCCCCATTTTTCCCAATATATATTAAAGAATTTTCTGACCTGGAAGTGATTATGTAACTTTGAAACACAAAGCATTAACTTTTTATCAAAGAAATCTTGGGGGAATGTTTTTTGAATGTTTTTAACATGCAGATTTTTAGTTACAGTGCAATATTTTACTTTTAAATGTCCCAAACTAGTATTTTGATTTTACAGTCAATAAGTTTTGATCATCTCTCATCAGTAAAATAGAAATCTTTAATAATTATGTTTCTTCCATGGCAAATGTAATCTGACTTTTAAAAAAATATGTTGCTCTGCTTGGGGTAATCTCTTAGTTACAGATACATACATTTGCCTATTCGTGTTTGCATTCATGTCTTTTATCTTCCTGAAAAGGCAATACACTTTTAAGAGTGTATCACACAGTCATGGTGATACCATGCTCCATGAATCTTAATGGAGCAGAAATAGTGTATTTCACTTCAAACTATCTTAGCTGTAATATTGCAACTGGTATTTTCATCTACATTTGTAAGTAGGTAGTTACACATTGTCCAGGATATGCGATCCTGCTTCCTGAACTGAGGAAAGGGGCAAGATCCAGACTAGATGTGAAGCACTTTTCCCAGCAGGCTACCTTCTGCTCCTGACCAAGAAGGTCACAGTTCGGAATCTTTCCCCTACTGAAAAAAACCCCATGGGAGGGACTAGACTCTCCTGTGGCACAGAGGCTGTCACCAGCTTATTCTCTGCCAGGAGGAGAACATTTCCTCACTGAGCTGTTTCACAGTTGGGTGCTATTGGGGAGGTCATGAGTCACTTATCTGCTGACTTCCTTATAAAGCTACTCTTGAAATTGATGATGTTTATGCTGTAAGTAGCGAGTTAATCGGCAGTCCCTGAGCTTCTGTTGAACTCTTGGGGTCTGAGTGACTAGAAGAAGTAATACCTTATGCCATTTGTGGTAGTATTTTTGTGTTTGTGTAGCTTTTAAAAAGCATTTTAAAAACATCTTCAAATATTTGTATTTTTCTCTTTGTAGGTCCTTGTTTTATTGTTATTCTTTCTATAATAAAAGCAATACAGGGGTGCCTGGGTGGCTGAGTGGCTTAAAGCCTCTGCCTTCGGCTCAGGTCATGATCCCAGGGTCCTGGGATCAGCATCTGGCTCTCTGCTCCGAGGGGGGCCTGCTTCCCTTCCTCTCTTTCTGCCTGCCTCGCTGCCTACTTGTGATCTCTGTCTGTCAAATAAATAAAATCTTTAAAAAAAAAATAAAAGCAATATAAATGGTTTTGAAAATATAGGGACATATAAAGAATTGTGAGCCCTCTGATGATGTCTACTCCAGCTTTTTTCCACTAACCATTATACTGTAAGCATTTTCCTTAACATTCTATTATAATACCATATTTTTCCTGGCCCTTACACCCGCTACCCTGATGTCACAGTCACCAATGATTATTCCATGTTATTTAAATAACATGTTTCCTCTTTAAAAAAACTAGTTAGCTTCCTGATATCTAAATCTTCCTCTGCTTTCCTAAATGCTTTCTTAGGACAAATCTTTTGGGGTAAGATAACTGAGTGAAAGGCTTTAATTATCTTACGGCTTTTGATAAACAACTGTACATTGCTAATTTCTCATCAAAGTCACCATAGTAGTACCTTTTCTGAACTTCTGAGGCAAAATTGTGTATTACAATTTAAGAACATTACTAGTTTGATATGAAAAATGTCATATAATCCAAACATACTATGTAAATATCTATATTTATAGATATTTATTTATTTGGGAGTGGAGGGAAGGGCAGAGGGAGAGAGTGAGTGCGGGGCCTGACACAGGACTTGATCTCATGCCTCTGAGATCAGGACCCAAGCCAGAGCAAGAGTTGGATGCTTAACCAACTGTGCCACCCAAGTGCCCCTGTAAATACCTATTTCTTTGAATATTAGTGACTGTGAATTTACCTTGTCATGTTTCTTAGCTGTTGGCTTCAGGTGTATTTGATGAAGTGCTTTACCCATCATTTGCTTAGTTTACATTGACTTAGAATACATTGATGTATTCATTAAAAATCATTTTCACAAGCCTTTTATATATTATTGATGTTAACATTTTTTTTAAAATATTTATTTATTTGACAGAGAAAGAGAGGGATCACAAGTAGGCAGAGAGGCAGGCAGAGAGAGAGGGGGAAGCAGGCTCCCCACTGAGCAGAGCCCAATGCTGGGCTCGATCCCAGGACCCTGAGATCATGACCCTAGCCAAAGGCAGAGGCTTAACCCACTGAGCCACCCAGGCGCCCCTCGATGTTAACATTCTAATGTTATACATATTAGAAGTAACTTACTATGTTTGTTGTCTCCAAATTTTTTGTTCCTCACAAAGAAGAGTTTTATATTTCATGGAGACAGATCTATAGATTTATATGTCTATGATTTCTCACTCATTATGCTTAGAAACTCTTTCCCCAATAAAACAGCAAATATATATTTTATAGTTATCTTATGATGTTATTATTACCATCACAATTTACATTTTCTATTTACATTTACTCAAAGGTACCAAATTAATTTAGGGGCTAGATATATATAAATTCAAACTTTCTTTTCTTTTAAATAACGAGTTGCCTCTGCACTATTTTTAAATAAGCCTTCTATGTTTGCTGCAGAGAAGAGCTATTCTTGAAGGCCCAGTCACTTCCAAGACAATGCAATACTTTAGCTCTGAGAGAACTGACAGGTGAATTATCTGCAAAGGAATTACCATTAGGCTGCTATTATCGGAGAGCAGAGTCCCTGACCTTTACCTGCTGCTTAGTACCTAAACGTCCTTTGTCCCTCCCCATGTTACTCTTTTCATTTTAAATGAATTGCCCTTCACTGAAGATCTACATTTAATAATGTCAAATATATTATCCTTGCTCGCATTAGGCAAATGAATAGTCGACCCCAGTTCAAGCATGGTTTTGATTTAGCTGAGCGGTTCTTACTTACCACTTTTAGAGTGGAGAAAATTCCATGAGTTTAAAGCAGTGGCCAGAGATTACATTATCTCTTTGTAAAGGAGCTGCATTTCCTAAATGGACTGTGCTGACATCTCACTGTCGAGATACAGTCTGCGGAATGTATCCTCTTCTAGCAGGGAATGAAAGCGGCTCAGAGAATGGGAATGTAAAGTAGGCCAACGTGAATCAGCCGCTTCGTTGCGATGGCACAGATTCCTATCTCTAGATCGCAAAAAAAAAAAAAAATCCTAGGAAAATATATCAATCCCAACTGTATTTTATTAGAGATATGATTTCAATCAATGCCTATTTTTGAAGATTTGGGTAGAAAAAAAAAAACTTTGAAATGATCTAATAAACAATAGATCCAGAAAGAAATTTATTAAAGCAAGTTTTATATCTATGGGTTAAGAAAAAAAAAAAGGAAAGAAAGAAAGAAAAACCAAGAGTTCCACGGAAGAAAGGAAAAGGAAAGAACCACATGGGAGTAAGGAGATGCCAGGTATTTATGAAACTGGGAGTCCTGTAGCCACGGACATGGTCCTAGAAAAGGGGAGCCGGACAAACAGGATACAGAAAGAGAATAGCAAGGATAATGATGAAGTGTTACATAATGTGTGTGAAATCAAAGTCATAATTTCTTCCTGTCAGGAGATTAAAGAGAGCAATAAAAAGTCGTGAGTCAGAGCTGTGACAATCTCTCAAAGCCACATGAAGTGCAGTTTAAGCGTTAGCCAGTGTCCCAGTTACAAAAAGGGAATCTAGAGATGATATGGAACTGAAGTCACCCACTTTGACTGTCATGCTCATAACCACGGGCCATTTTCTATGAGGAGAATTACACAAATAAAGGCTTTAGAACGTCCCCTCTCGGCTCTCCCACTCTCCCGCAACACTGGCAGTAGTCTGTAATGTTCCTAATAATACTTCACACTTTAACCTTCAAAGAGCTTTACTTTTAACCCCCCAATGCACCATATGCTATGTCGCCAACTTGATAAATGGAAGACCAGTCGGGGAAGATAAATGAGCAATCACAGGAAGCAGAGTGCTCAGATAAGGACCAGATCCTTCGCTATGGAGTCAGCGTTTTGTGATCTAAGATGTATTTAAAATTTACAGAATAATTCCTACAATAAAATCATTTAAAGGAAAAGGTACATGTAGTGTGTTAAATGGGAGTTTGCTATCTCTGTTGAGGACTGGTCCTTGAGAGTCCTCCCAATTCAAGTTCACATGTATTTTAGGCACGAGGCTCCTCAAATCTCTGAGAATGTAGGTGAATTCAACATTAATGTGTATTATGGTCGCAGTTTAATAAAATGCTTGGGCCTTTAGAATAAGTCCATTCTTAAAATAAATAGTACACACCCAAATCACCAAATGCGGAAAGTTAAGGGAAACAAACAAACAAATGAACAAAATCCTGATGGTGTGCACTCAGCCTGGAAGGTAGGCAGGCTGGAGACCATTCAGCCTCAGTAACCAAGGATCTGAGCCGTGACCTGCCTTTGGCCTCCAGTGGTACCCCACCAGCTGCATTTCTCTGGCATGGAGGGTGGTTGGCTATATACTTGTTAGTTAACTGGGCCGGTAGCCAGAGATGTTTCTTTTCCTTTTCTCATATTTCCAGGACAGGAGGGACTTTTTCCTACATATTTTTCACATAAAGATGCAGAGTCGAGTCTACCCACTGTGAATAAATTTAATTTAGCTGTCTTTATACCTCCTTGATTTCCGTCAACTGAAAGCCTACAGTACAGGGGCAGATGTGTAAACTGGGAAATCTTCCCGACTTCTTTGTTGTTGTTGTTATTCTACTTAACACCAAGACCCTCAACAAAATTCCACATGAAACAGGGCTCTGGTGTGGGTAAACAGGCCTCCAGGTTTAAGGAAGGTAGGTTTGCTCTTCACACCAGCCTGTGGGCCAGTCAAGCTCAAATGTTTGAATTGTCTTTCAGGGCTCTGGCTTCAAAGGGTAAAGAGCATCCCATTCCAGGAGGGGTTCTTTTTGTTCATTGAGTTTTCTCACACTTGAAATCACATTACCGTGTTATAGTATACCGAGGTATGGCAAATATTTCCACAAATGACATAATCTCAAGTATCACATGTACACATGGTATCAAAATTCGGTCCATAGTAAAAAGGGAAATTCAGCTTTAAATGTTGCTAACCTTCGGACTAGGGTCCTACTCAGTTACAGCTCCAACACCCAAAAAGCTGTATCCATGCTTTTCCATTAGACTGTTAACAAGTCACCACTTAGAGTCTCCATATGCTATTCAGCTCACTTATTGGGTGATATCCAGAAAACAGAGTAAATTCCTTTTACACTCATTGTTCTATTTCTCCATTACAGGTGGTAGCATGCCCTAAAAGCTTTTTCTGCACAAAGGCTGTCGATGTCTGGCTCTAGCTCTGAAATTTAAATACTGATTGGTGTTCTTAATATACCACTTGGTATCTGAAATCTCTAGAAAGATGGTTAGTTGATAGTTTCCAGTTTTACTTCATTGGTTTTTATAGCTTTTCATTCCTATCTGTAGACTAGGAGAAAACTAACTATATTCAGAGGTTTAGTTAGATAATAATGAGAGGCAAACATGCATCTTTGAGGGCTGTTACTTTAATGGAATTTTTTAAATTCTCTTCAACTGTGGCTGATAATATTGCGCTCAACGACAGAGATGGGGATAGATCTCTTAGGTTCAACTAAGTAAAACTAGGTTTGCCTCTGTTCATTTGCTCCTTGCCCTCTGTTTTCCATTTATTACCTACATTTTTCCAATTCTGCAGTTGAAACCTGATGAAAGGATCATCAAAACAGAATATGGGCTACTGATTCGAAGTCTGCAGAAGAAGGACTCTGGAATGTATTACTGCAAAGCCCAGGAACACACTTTTATCCACACCATAGTGAAGCTGACTTTGAATGTCATTGAGAACGAACAGATGGAAAATACCCAGAGGGCAGAGCGCGAGGAGGGGCAGGTCAAGGATCTGCTGGCTGAGTCCCGGCTGAGGTACAAAGACTACATCCAAATCCTCAGCAGCCCGAACTTCAGCCTCGACCAGTACTGCGAACAGATGTGGCACCGGGAGAAGCGAAGACAGAGAAACAAGGGCGGCCCGAAGTGGAAGCACGTGCAGGAAATGAAGAAGAAACGGAATCGAAGACATCACAGAGACCTAGATGGGCTTCCTAAAGCCGTGGACACGTAGTTGTCTGTTTAATTTAAAGAATTCTTTACCTGCAAAAATACCGCCTTCTGTTTTGTGCACCCTGTATACTAACTCATAAGAGCTTTCCATGGAGTTTTGCTAAGGCAAAGCACACGAGAACAATGATCTGAATAAGACTATATATGGCGAATATGGCCTAGTAAGGGCAAAAAATTCCTCTGAACCAGTTTTCCAAGAACTAAATACGTACCTGCAAAGTATCAGAATTATCCTCAAAATGGGGGCTTTACAGTTGTAAATGTTTGCTGTGCCGAGTTTTTGAATTTATTATGTGATGTAAATAACTGAGTGGAGTGGGCTTCAAATTTGGTATTATGATAAGGGGCTCTATTTCCCTTGTATGGCCATTAAGCATGGACTTGACCATGCCATTGTGCTGTATATGCGTTCTTAGGAACAGATACATCATTCCACTCTAGGACTGGCTACCCTGTGGTGGTAGGAGCTGGAGGGAAGACACAAATTCATACAGCTCACGCTATCAGCAGGAACTTTCACTCTTGGTACAGGGTTCAGGAATTTGGAGAGGAGCGTTATTTCAGACCACAGAGGTTACATTCGGTGTACAGCAGTGTGATTTACTGAAGGATATAAATGTTCCTCCCAGGGTTCCTTGTGACTTGTCAAGAGTTAACAAGTTCACAGAGAGAAGTTGTTGCTCGGTTGTGTCTTTTTGGAATGTATACTGAGCTTACGGGGATGGAACCCTTCATAAATATTTTAATAAGTGATGGGAAAACATTTTAATAAGGGAAACACCGTGATGTATCCTGTGTCCTAATGGGAAGGCCTGCAGATGGGATTTGTTAAGAGACAGAAAGAAGGACAGTGATAAATTCTAGCTTTGGGGAAAATTCATATCCTCATGAAAAGGAAGAACAATCACAAATAAACTGGGCAAAATGTTATGTAACTTTATTCACTAGAGTGTGAGTAACTGCCAATTTGTAATCCATCTGTTAAAAAAAACTCCACCTTATAACAAACTGCTAGTGAAAGTCTGAGGAAAAGTAAATTTTCTAGATCATGAGAAGAATGAACACAAATTTATTTACAACCAATGGGATTTCAGTAGTACTTCCTCTCTCTTTTTCTAAAATCTCATTATACTCAGTAAATTATTTCCATTTACTGCCTTTATTCCCTCCTGAATATTGGATTATTGGATTTTATTTGAGTGACTAGGAAAAGAACAATATATACATATATAGAAAGATAGAATTAGGTAGACAACGGTGATGGGGAGCGGGGATATATATTTGTTGAGTAATAGAACCAATGCAAAAATGTTGACAACGGAAAGGGTTAAATTAACTCTTTGACATCTTTTCTTCACACAATCTTTTTGCATTTCCGAGATTGTATGCTGTAATTCAAATAGCATTGTTTTAGTAATTTAATAATAAATAAGCCTGATGCATGTAAGGAAACCGAACTCACAGCATTAACATAAACATTCTTCACATTTTGTTTGCACTTTCAAATGTTTCCAATTTGACTCTCCCTCTCTGCGGACGTATGGTATGTTTCCTGCCTGTTGGAGCAGAACTCACCTTTCCTTCTTAGAACACGAACCCTTTGCCTTCTTCTGTTTTGCCTCTTCACGCCCTTTTTAGTGTGAAATGAAAAATTAGTCACTTCCTCACATGGAAGGCAGCCTTTCAGAAAACTGAAGAGCAGACACTGCTCGTCTCGCATGCATTCCGCATGTCTTGAAAGAAGAGCCTGTGAGAACCTGTGTGGTTAGAGGGTGCCTTCTGAAAATTTCAGTATCATGTCTGTGACTGCCTTTGTGTTCGGAACGTTCAGTCTTACATTCACTTCCTTTGCCTTGCTTACCTATCTCAGAGTAATCACACGGCTGTACGAAGTTAGGGACCCCTTTTGAAATGATACCCGTCAATATTTGTGGATGTTTCACTAGATGGAAACCTTAAAGTTTTGTTTTGTTTCTCAAAGTGAACCAGAAACTATCACTCTTAAAAAAGTAATGCAGAAGAATAGCTGTGAGGGTTGGGGAGGAAATCAGGCTGCAAATTGCGTATCGCAAGGAGAGTGTTTGTGATTCCTGATCTGCCGGGTTTAAATGTCCCAGGAACTCATGGCAAGCTCAAAGCAAATAAATGGGAGCATGTTTCATTTTTAAGATTTCCTAAGATTTGTATATCAGACAGTCATGATCAAAGTATAGGTGACTTTGGGAAAATTACATGAAGCTCAAATGTTAGGATTGACCTGTGTAATAAATTTGGTTTTCATCAAAATATGAATGTTCAAGCCATTTTTAATTACTCTTTTCTGATCTTAATTATTTAGATAAAATTTGGGTAACCTCTTTTACTTTACAGCTAATATTTTGGCTGCTTTGGATCTAAAACAGTAATTTATGATAATTGCTTAAAATATATTTGAAATATTGTAAATATTGAGTAAACAAAATGTCATAGAATAAAAAAACATATGGGCAAAGGTTTATGTGTATTTATAAAGACAGAGGACATCTAAGCTACATTTAATTTTTTAACCTTTAATTGCCTAGAACACTTCGATGGACAGTATGACTATATTAAGTCTAGAGATGAGATACAATATATACTTCCTTACCACTGAAGGTTTTACCAAATTTTCCTTGAAATAATGAAAAATAAAATTATAGTTAGTAGTTTTAGATATGTTTAAGAAATGAGCTATCTATGGAGAATTCTTAAAATGTCTGCCTAGTCTTGGTTTCATATTTTTCTCCCCTGTTTTGAATACATACGTCTTTAACTTGCATATTCTCTCCTGCATTTCATTCCAGCTATTTATGCTGCTAAATGGAATCCTGCCTTTCTGCATACATTTACATTCAATTTATTGGGAATTTTAACAGTTTGCTTAGAAACGAGGAGTGTAAGTAATTAATTTATGTAGATCCTTTTTTTCCTCCAAAGAGCTCAACACACTACATTCATATTACTGAATAAACATTTCTGAAAACCAACCAAATTACTTAAGAGACGGAAAAATAGTCATAAAGAAATTCAGAAATTTGCAAAAGCTACAACAGTAGAAGAACAGCAGTCTACACCAGATCTCTTCAATCTGTTGGCTAACTGATGCTCATTTACAATATGCTGCCTACAAAATGGTCTTACTATTGAATTCTGCCTTTGGTCTATATTTCAGTTCCTTTATGCTATTAAGTTTTGTTCCTGCTGAATTGTATAGACTCAATTAAAAAATAAGTTTTCAGTGGCCAGTGCCTGTTTTTCAACATTATCAAAATTAAGCTTTCAAAGACAATTTTCTATTATCCAGATGGCCACAAAACATTAAGTTGCACAATAGCATTAATTAAACACTGATTATTTTAAACTTAAATATAAGCTATATTTCATATATATCATAAATACAAAGAAAAATTAAAACTGAAACAGCTTCTCTTTAGAATGTTACATTTGTCTTAGACGACATGTTGGAAAATTGATTAACTTTATTGAGAATGGACAGTTTAGAAAAAAAGAGATATTTCAAGTGTTTTTATGGAAAGATATACTTTTCTCACAGGAAATAACCAAAATATTTAAATAACTTGGCTTACATGTGAGGTTAAAAAATAAGATCTAAAACTCCAGCATTCTACATATTGACAGTGCAAAGACAGGAACATGCACATGACTTATACCTCTCATTTAAATATTTTGTAGTGTAAAGTATTTATGGTAAGTTTGAGATAGATGATTTTTGGGGGGAAGGGCAACAATCTATCAGTTAATCATGTTATTTAATTCTGGTATTGTAAGTGGCTACCAATCAATTTCGAATTACAGTTTTGCGATTTTAAAAGAAATGTAGTCTTGTAATCTAAAATAATTGAAAATTGTCAAATGTATATTTTGGTTGTATTATAATAAAACACAAACATTAATGTTCTATGGTTATAAACAGAATGTTGCAATGTGTGTGTGCAAGTTTTGTTTTGAAACCTTAAACATGGTAACCAGATTTTTGACATGGAATTGCACTAAATCCATTACCTAAGAAAAAATCTCCTGGTAAACTTCAGTAAATATATTTTGCACCATAAGTATGCAGTAATTTCTCTTATGAAAGAAAGGTATATATGTCTATCCCCAATCAATGTAGTTATATAGCTACATTTACTGTGATCTAAATTTAGACTTTGGCAGACTGACATAAACATTACCACCACAAGTAACAACTTTTTTTTTTTTTTTAAAGATTTTATGTACTTATTTGATAGAGAAAGACAGAGTGAGAGAGGGAATACAAGCAGGGGAAGGGGGATTGGGGAGAGGGAGAAGGAAAAGGAGAAGCAGGAGCCGGGAGCAGGGAGCCCAATGCGGGGCTCAGTTCCATGACCCTGGGATCATGACCTGAGCCAAAGGCAGGTGCTTAACGACTGAGCCACCCAGGCACCCCCACAAGTAACTACTTTTAAGATTTCCAATGATCATCCTATGAGTAAGATTTGAAAGTACTCCTCTATGTGTAGCTGTATGAGTATAACTTATTAAAGGAGTTAGTGAGACTTTTGTTTTTGTTTTTGCTTTAGAAAGAAATTTCTTTTAGAGAAAATTATATTTCTTGCCAATTTGGTACATTTTGTGAAGGATATTTTGTATTTGTAATAGGTAATATATACCCCCCCAAACCTGGTTATGAAATAGCTTGTAGGGATACTGTACAGAAATATGTCAGGTTTTGTGGCTGCTCTGGCAATCTCTAAACATGAGAGTTTAAAATAACATATAATCTTTAAAAGAAAAAAATACTTTTATAAGGGGCACTTTTAGTAGAATCTTACTAGGATCATGTCCAAGTCGTTAGTGTAAATAAAACATAACACAAGATTAATAATGGAGAAAATTCCAATTGTATTTGTTTGAATGTAGAAAAGTCCATGAGTAATTCTCAAGATGAAAGAAACAAGAGTTTAATATTTAAGTTGAGAATTAAAAGCATCTATAACCACACGACTTGTTACCTACGTGAACAGTTTTTCTAGTCCACGGAAGTCTTGCTCAGGAGAAGATCATATACTTTTCCTTTGTGTGTATATTGGTACAAACATACATCTTGGAGACTGATTTGGCACACCCAATGAAGTTTAAAATGCATATATTCCAAAAATCAGCTTTTCACAATTAAGTGCATACCCCTGAGAACCTTCAGAAATAGACATTTTCAAAAATAGTTATTGTAGGATTAATTATAATAGAAAAAAGAGAACAGTCTGTGTGTTCTACAAAAGGAGAACGGATGAATTGGAAGTATAGTTGCTAAATGGATACAGAAGCTTACATGAAAAAAAAAGATCTGCAGGATCAACAGAAAATTTCAGAAACAATGTCAAATGAGTACAATCAAGGAGTGTAGGAATGTAAACAGAATAATACTGGGTATATCAAGTTTAAAGAAGCAAATGATACTGCTTATGGATACATATATTCATATGTAAGTAGTAAATATATAAAAAAACACTCTGGAAAAGTTAAGCACCAAATTCAAATAAATTTTCCTCAAGAAACAAGAGATTATAGGGAGATAGCACTGTTTTAATTTGGTTTTATTTTCTTAAAAAAATATCTAAACCCAATGTTATACTTATATTATATTGCATATATTTGTAGGAACTAGTATATTTAAATGTTAATAGTTGACAAAGTTGGGCATTCAATTGCCATTTCAATATATCGTTCTCAATACAGTTCTGTGTGCTTCAGGTATTTCACAGTAAAACACAAATTAAGGCTCTAAGTCTCAGAACAAATTACTCTATTGTAAATTTGAAAGAGTGAGGAAAAGAGAGAATAGTGTACAGAAATACTAGGTATTCAAACGTCGTAATAGACGCAGTTCCAGTTACTCTTACATTATGGACTTTCCTGGACACTCTGATTTTTTTTTTTTTTTTTTTTTTAACGTGACAGCTAAGAGTTTGGTTGGCCTCAGGGACCCTGGGATAATGTTGAGTTTTCAAAGCAACACCATATTGTTATGGAAATGCCTAAGGCATCTGGGATATTGAACTTTCGTGCTTAATATGCCCAAAAGACTCCAAACAGCTGAGTTGGCCTTTCTTGGATTGAACACTGTTCAAGGTTGATGTTTAAAATATAGAGTTTCTTCTTTCTGGCTTACATATCAAAATTATAAACTGACTTATGCTCTTTAGGTAACTGAAGAAGGAAGAGAAATACTTACAACTTGCAAAATGTCTTTAAATGGTCCCACAGATCATTATTTTGTGTAGGAAAGATTTTATCTCAATATAATTTGCCCTTTTAATTTACTATTATGTTTTGTTTATGTATAGAGAAGGGCCAAAAGGTAGCCCAACATTTCTCGCCTTTTACAAATTCTCAATTTTATTGGGTCCTGTCAGGGAGGTGTTTCAATATGTTTTTTTTTTTTAAGATTTTTTAAAATTTATTTATTTGGCAGAGACCACAAGCAGGCAGAGAGGCAGGCAGAGAGAGAGGAGAAAGCAGGGTCCCCTCGGAGCAGAGAGCCTGGTGTGGGGCTCGATCCCAGGACTCTGGGATCATGACCTGAGCTGAAGGCAGAGGCTTCAACCCACTGAGCCACCCAGGCGCCCCTGTTTCAATAAGTATTGCAGGAATATGCGGAGGGGGCATAGTCAGAGTCTTAATTTAAGTACATAAACCTGGAAAAGAAGCAAATGAAACCAATTCATGAGATGGGAAGTTATCATTTAGAATCAGGAAAAGGATTATTTAACGGGCCACATCCCTCTAAGCTTTTAATATAATGAAACTAGTATGGGCAATTATCTTCAATTACTGAATTGTATTATAATTGTAGCTCTTCCATACAGGTCATTTTTACTATTGAAAAACAAATAAACAAAAACATAGAATCACCTGTTGTAATTTGTGTTGTTGACATTTGGAAGCGGTCTTAGGTTTCAGTGGCCACAGGCAGTTTTGAATGAGAATTAACATAACTTACTCCTATGGGAAAATCATAGAAAGCTGGACAAGAAGCCAAGGGTCTGATTATTAGGAACTTTATGATTCAGATTAGATAGAGACTTAATCCTGTAGACAGAGGGGGACATTTTGGTATTTTTAAGCAAAAAATTGACAGAAAAAGATTTTCATCAAATTTGCATATTAGATGCAGTGAATCATGTAAAACTGATGATTCACAGACCTGTACCCCTGAAATAAATAAGACATTGTATGTTAATTTTAAAAAAACCTCATCTGATGGTAAAAAAATAAATTGCATATGAGAAATAAATATAAAATGATAAATGACCTCTCAATTTCCATGTTTTGCAACTTGATGGATGACAGTTAAAAAATAAAAAGTAAATATAGCTGTCCCCCCCCCCTTATGGGCAGCTTCATTTCCCCTGGTTTTAGTTACCCTGATCAACCATGACCTGGAAGCAGATGATCCTTCCACTCACCAACCGGTAGGTAACTCAAAGCCAAATGCTACGTCACAGTGCCTGCATCCGTCATTGGCCTCACTTCATCTCCTCCCGAAGGCATTCTACCATCTCACATCATCACAAGAAGGGTGAGTATGATCCAATCGGATATTTTGAGAGAGAATGCATTCGCATAACTTTCATTACAGTGTATTTTTATAATTACTCTATTTTATTATTAATTATTTCTGTTGATCTCTTACTGTACCTAATTTATAAATTACATTTTGTCATAGGCATATATGTATAGAAAAGAAAATCATGGTGTATGTGGGATTCAGTAATATCTGCATGTTCAGGTGTCCACTGGTGGTCTTGGAATGTATCCATCACTGATAGGGAGGATTACTGAAAAGGTTAGGGTGGGAGGTCATGGTTTCAACATTAAATACTGAGTTGGGGATGATTTGAACAGTGTCTGGTAAGTAGTCTGAAATACAGACTTGGCGCTCAGGAGAAATGAAAGCTAGATTTATTCTGTGGTCATGGACACTGAAGACAGAAGCAGTGTGATAAGGCATGCAGTGAACATAAGCAGAACTGGGTGGTCAACTTGGAGCTTAAATTAGTGTGTATCCTGATGTAAGTTATCACTAATTTTTCTGTACTTTAATGAGATGTTTCTTAGGTACCAGAAAGCATACACAATTATGAATTTGCCTTTTTTTTTTCACCAGAAGCTAAATTGCTTGAGAACTAAATCTCTATTCTTAGTATCTAGCAGCGTTTAGCAACTACAAAAGAGTTAAACAAGTGTTGTGTAACAACAAAAGAGTTTCCCTCAAAATTATTGTGATTCTTTATTTAAGGAACTAGTAAGAAAAGAATTCCACCAAATGGAAACATTTTTAAAAATTCCTGCCCCATGTGCTTCTTTTTAAATTAAATTGGTAAATTGATGAAGGTCTATTTTCATTTTGAATGTTCGTCTGTTTTAAACAACAATTACAAACTGGTGTTGTTGGGGTTTTTTCCTCTGATTCAGGTGGACTCCATGCCACAAACTACAAGATTTAAACTGAATAATGGATGGTTTGTTTAAGCACAGGACTTTGTGCTTAAAAGCAGCTTTGTACTTTAAAAGAAGTCTTTAAAGAAAACTTAAATGATTTAAATTCATAGCGTAGTCAAGAATATAGATTTCTCTGACAGATATCTTTTGGTAAATAGTATTTTATTTTTGCCATAGCATTTTCCTGTTTGATTCACATGTAAGAGCACATAAGTGTTAAATGAAATCTTGGGAAAACATTCTACTAGATCTTTAAAGCCAAGTGCTCAATAAAAGCAAACCAAAGTTTTAACAGTTTCTTTATCAATTCTCATCCCTAAAAATGTTACTGGATTAGGTACACTGCTTACATTTACACATTTTATCTCTTAAACAGCAAAGTAAATTTCTGTCACTTGGAACTATTATGATGTGTTACTTCAGATGCATTATATATCTTAAAAGTGAAATAC